CATAATGGCCACCTTGTGCAAAAGAATAGGTAATTCTGCTTTTGTTCTAAAAGCCTTCTCATGAATCTCATTGATCTTCACCCGCTCATCTTTTCTTGTTGCGAAACAAAGTAGGATCGACTCTCCCTATGATGCTGCGGGGAGGAAGACTTAACGTGCCTCGAGAGTGCTTGGCCTTCAGTGCAGAAACCGGAAAGATTTAAAGATCTTCAATTGGGCAATCTTTCTTCCAAGTCATCATTTACATAATCTCATTTTCCAAGTCACTATAGGACACGAATAGGGCTTTATATGATAACTTCATATCTCCTTTTCTAATTGATGTGTGTCCAACATCAGGTAAATCATGTAAGTCCAAGAAACGTGCTCAAAACTTCCGCCAGAAACTCGCATGTTTTAATGCCCAGTAGCTATGTGGCACGGCGTGAAGTGAAGACGTTTCATTAAACTCTAACTTTTGTGGCTCTATCGGAGCTGATACAATGACATTACGGGTACCAAATTGAAAGTTGGGTAACTGAGGTAGCACAACAGGGCCGAAAAAGGTATGCCACATCGACGAATTCTTTCCGTTGTCAAAGTACTCTTCCCCCCGTTACTGGGGGTGATTCATCCCGAGCTTGATGAAAGCGTGCACAATGTACAATTGACAATTCAATTAGATGCTGATACCCCAACCTCATTTTCGTTCTCAAACGGGCAATTCTTCGTAATTAATCTTCAATCAGCTGAAGAGAATGGCCATTGAGCCCTACGACAACAATTAATGCTCGAATTCTAGAGTTAATTTTGGAATATGAAATATCGTTTAGGAATTCCAAGTCTACAAGGAGCTCGGCCTATCATCCGAAAAAGCAAAGCTCAGGCCATTGATTTTCACTGATTGTTAGCTTCTACTTGTTTTTTCTTCCTTCTCTAGCTATAAATCACAAAGTGTTTAGTATTTAGATAGGTATTGATTAATTATCGTCGAAGCTATAGTAATTCCGATCATTTAGCTGTTATTGGACAAGTTTAATGAAATAAAATTAGGCGAGACCAGCTCCCCAGTTTTCATTCAGCCTTTATTGAACTTACAGCATCTACTTTCTTCCAATCAATAAAAACGCTTTACGAAAATACCTATTGCGTATGAATTCCATGCTCGCATGAAGACTATTCCTCATCGCGCTTATTAAATCCAACTTCGGGGTTTCATAACCTAATCGGGTAATTCACATCAACGCTGAAGATTTGGAAATCTACGTTCCCTTTCTCTTGGTTCTTGAACGCTACTGTATTTAGCTCTCGAAAGGGTCTTGGGCTACGCATCAATTCAAAATGTTGGTTAGTACCATGAGCAAATTCCACACATTGCAATCGCCGGACCCAATACAAGGTATGGGCCCAAGAATTGCCAAAAACAAGTCGACTGAAAATCGTATTTTTCGAAGGGATCGCGATTTTTTTCCATAGGTCTTAAGTCGATACCAATTTTTACATCGTCCGCTTCAATTATCAACCCACCGACGCATGAGATCGTCGTAGGACTGTATTATAGTGATATGGCAGTTAACATGGAGTTCATGAGAGATAGACAGAAAAGCAACAAAGTTTTGTTACTCATGTCTTCTTCTCTCCTCTTGATTACTCACTCGTGCGTGAATGTGTTTCCTTCTGAGCAAATATCACGATCTTCAGCCTCTGTTACATCAAGTTCAAAGCACATTTTTAACTTTGCAACCAGCGTACATTAAGTCTAAGTGAAAGTATACATGTCATTGTTCTCTACAATTGAATAACAAATCAGGTTTCTTGCTAGTACTTTTTGGATTTCTGGTGACATCTTCAATCATTCTCCTGTCTGCTTTCCAGATTCTTAAAACTCCAGTCCTAAAACCCCAGAAATTGTCTTGTTCCCATTTGCTCCTGTATTACATTTCATCTCAATTACCCACAAGCAAGATTTACGGGCCCTAAGATGGCTGCCAATAAGGATGTCAATGGTGGTCTAAAAAATCATTTCATCGCTTTCCTGGGCGAATTCGTCGGAACATTTCTCTTCCTCTTTTTCGCTTATGGCGGAACTCAAACTGCCAATCAGACATCTCAAAGAAATACAGCGATAGTTGCAAGTCCTGATATAAATCAATTGATGTATATTGCTTTGATTTTCGGCTTCAGTCTCACCGTCAACGTCTGGATCTTCTTTCGTATTAGTGGAGGACTTTTTAATCCAGCTGTATGTATATCCACTTCGGTCTGGACATCCAGTACCACAGTTCCATGCAAGATTGCCACCGAGTATCAGCAATAAGCCCGAGCATAGACTTTTCCTGAATTCGGGTCCTGGATTGAGAGCCGATTTACTACTTTGGTGGAGGAATCTTGCTAACTTATATATGCAGGTCACGTTAGCTCTTTGCCTTGTAGGTGTGGTGGGTCCTGTCAGGTAAGTTCCTGACTAAACATCAACAATTTAGGGGTCCTCTCGTCTAGAATCCTGGTGGCAGTGTTGACTGATCCACCTATCTTGTACCATATGTTCATTAGCAAGCTCTAGACGATCACACACTCACTAATGTCAAACATCCAGATCTATTTTCATATTCATAGCCCAGGTTCTTGCCTCTATCACTGCTGCCGCCGCGGTTCGAGGCCTTCTTCCAGGAGACGCTGTACTCTTTAGTTGTGCACTGGCCTCCGGTACTTCCATTGCGCAAGGACTCTTCCTTGAGATGTTCTTCACTATCGAACTAGTGTTTACCATTCTCATGTTAGCAGCCGAGAAAACCAAAGTCACCTTCGTGGCACCTGTGGGGATAGGACTCTCGCTTTTTGTTGCGGAGTTGATGGGCGTTGCTTGGACAGGTGGTGCTTTGAATCCAGCTAGAGCATTTGGCGCAGAGGTTATCGGAGGATTTAGGGGTTATCATTGGATTTACTGTGGGTTTTCTCGTTCACGGCTTAGTTCTGCGCCGGTTTCATGTATACAGCTGGATCTTTACCCTAGCTGCGTGCTCTATTTGGCGCACTACTACACTACTCACAGATGATCTCCTCTCTTTACCGAACTAATTTTTCTTATAGGGTTAGGACCTTTCATGGGAGCGGTTCTCGCAGCGGGCTTCTACAAGGTTATAAAATTTCTCAACTATGAACAGGTAAACGGTGAACAAGATCTTTCCGCTGAAGAGATACAAGTGAGAGACGAAAAGAAAGCTCGAAAGAAGGAAGAAAGGCGACGAAAACAAAATTTTGCAAATCTTTTTCAACACGGGAGAATGCATCATCATCATCATCACCATGCGAATACCAGGAACGAAGGAGGGAATGCTGCAGATAATGGAAGACCCAATTCAGCACCTTCTTACACAGCGCCTCCGGCTGGAATCCACGCCTGGCCGCATTCAGCAAGTACTATCAGGGAGAATGGAGATTTTTCGAGGTTTGCGGAGGTGGGACAGGACGGTATTATGGTTACACGAGAGCAACCGGCAGAACAGTATAGGGTAAGCGGGGAGAGATACGCTCAGGATGCTGATGCCCAGATTAGAGACAAAACACCTTGAACGATTTAGATGGGAAAGCTACGCATTTGGAGAGTTCGTATGGAATTTGTTGTCGATAATTTCTCCAATTGTTGAATTACGCATATGTGCGATATACTGGCATTGCATTTGCCTAGCATAAGCGTAAGCATGGGGAAACAGAACACGCACACGCACACAGTACAGGAATGGGAAACAACAAGGCAGATCTTGGGCACCTGCACTTTCGCATGACTAGATGGCGTATAGCCGGAAGTATCCAAGCATTGAAGCATAGATTTAAAGTAAAAATATTGTTTAGTTTTTATCATCTAATTTTATGAAATTTCGCAACGAGAAATCGAAATGTTCTTCTTTGCTTCTAGCTAGAGATTTATACCTGGTAGCTTTATACCTGGTAGCTGCATATACATGGGGCTAGAATCGGGATAAGCGTCATCCCGTCTACCTGGTGAGATGTGACCCTGGCTGTAATTTCCACAAGCAATATTTCGTCAGCCATGTCTTTGTCAACTTTCCGATTTCGCGCTTAATCATATTCTGGAGACCGAAAGATGGGTGTCTTAGATTCGCGCTCTTTTTAAGGAGGTATCTCCGCGTCCTTGTTTTTCTTGGCTCAAGGGTCCATGGACTGTGCGACGAAATCCCGCATCTCGAGGCATGAGCTGAATGCATAGCCTATATAGACCATTCTAATTGTTTGGCGATCGTATATTGTTTCTCAAAGTGGACGATGTCACGTTAGATGTCCACTCCCACTTTTGAAGCTTGTCTGTCTAAAAGTGGGATACCCATCCACTATTCGCTTTGCCCCTCAAACCAATGGGTCAAACCGTAAAGTTAAATCCACAAACAGATATTGAAAGGTCTGTTCGATTAACTTGTCTAACGTGCCTGAGCACCCCATGGCTCGCTGTCAGTACAGTTATGATACGTCGTTTTATGTCTGTCTTTCTTACAGATTTATGCCGTTATGTTATCGCAAAGAAACTTAAATGTAACCCTGTATTCGATCTATCATATTGAAATCTGTTGAAGATTGGTCCGATACTGTAGTACACATCTTTCTACAGTAGATGGCGTTAATGATCAGAATCTTGCTTGCATGGCACGCACACCGAGTACATATTTCAAAGTTTTGCATGCACGCATGCATGCGGGACAATGCTATAACCGAGTGTTACCTGGCGTAATTAAACCGGAGAAGAGAAATCGGTGGATGTGTGAAAAGGGTAATTCTGATCAGGGTATGTTGGGGTTTATGTATGAGTGGAACGATGTTAACTCAAGGTGTTCGCGCGGTCGTTCACCGTCTTTCTTCTATTACTGGGCGTTTGTACTGGACAGTTATTTATTAAAGTTTTTCGAGCTGCTATCATTGCGTCATCTGATAATGTACTTTTTTCGAAAGCGCAAGTGAACCCTGCGAAGTTTTCTAGGAGGTATTGATGGGGATTCAGTGTTGTCAGATTATGGCATGACATTGACGTTTTTCATTGTCCTGTCCAGTAAGGGTGAGCGAGATGGTACTTTTGTTTTAAACGGCCACGTTATGATTGTTGTTGTTGTCATGACCCTACGCAAGCTCAACCCCAAGTCCCTATCTCGCGTGCTTGGAGTTTGACTACTGTTCAGATATGGCAGCCAAAGCAACTTTCTGTAGCGACAACTGGCCAATGCCATAGTTGCTTCAAAATGTGTTCGTGAGGCCAGAATGAAGTGGGCAGGGAAGAGAGTAGTCTGGACTTGAGCATCGTGTCGATGGGAAGTGTCACTTACTTCTATATCAACTGCCATATTATATTATCCACATATCTAAGCCCTTACCCCACCTACTTCGCTGCCTCCACAATTTCAAGCAAGGCGAGTCTGACACATTTCCTTATCACGAACAGCCAAGCTATCGCTAGAGATAATTTACGGTGTTGTTGGCCATTTGTGCAATGATAGACGCTGGCAATGCATACAGGGGGGATGTCTTTGGGATGTTGCGAATTTTTCGAACTGAAAATTGATAAGCTAGGGAGAACAAATCTTTGAGCAAGTCTTTTCAGTATTCCATATGTTTCTCTCGTCTCTAGGACATCACACGAGTGTATGGTGGTAAGAACTGGACATACAGTAATAGAAAGGACATGATCCACTTGTTGGCGTTCGTTCTTGGATTACTCATTTTAAACTTTACAGTTTCATGCGGCTCTTATTCTCTTCCACGTTGATACCTCTGCCACACTACTTTTCTTTGACATAAATATATGCGGTCTATAGTGAAATATCGTGTAAATATTTCGTTCTGGATTTGAGAAAGCGAGTGGCATATTACAAGATGTGTATAACTGCGCGTCTTTTTGGAGAGACCAGCATTGAGAGTGCTCCTGATGAAGCTGTTAAGTCCAAGCGTTGTCAGATACGCAACAAAATAAGACTAAGGGCCCAATAATGAGGCTATAAAGTGCCGATGTTACCTTCATATTATAATATGCAATATGCAGCTCATACAGGTACACTCGGATTATTTTTGATGTTAAAATCACCGAAAGCTCGCGAGCTGGCTAATCTTTAAGCTAGAAGTTTTCAGAAGTGCCAATAATTTATAAGATATGCAACACAATAGAATGTTAGAAACGATTTTGAAGCTAGTACTACTAGGGCACTTAGACGTGCAACATATTGAAGTACTAGGATTACTCTTGGAGCATTAATAATAAGAGTCTTTAGATACCCAAAGATATAATGAGCTTACATCAGACTGACAATCTAAATAGAACCCAGTCTTTTCAACCCTTTACTTTGAAACTTGGTCACTGGATCAGGACGTGATCCTAAAAAGTACCGAGAGATAGACTGGGGATAAGTACTGACTTTCTCGGAAGGGAATCAGTAGCAGTTGGATTAACAGGGGAATCAAGTAGTTCTTTCATTAAGACAAATATAAACGTCGGTTGTGGAAATGGGATAACAGTTAGCACTGTTTTGACTTGAGCGATGGCGGTTTTATGGATTTGTGATATCGATTGAGTCTGTGGAAAGGGGCAATAACGTGGTGAGTTTGAAAGGGATAATATTGTGGTGGAGGGGGGGCCGATACCTCCTTATAATGGTTTCAAATGCTCCAGATAACATGAGAACTTCAAAAATTGAAGGATCTGCCAAGACATGGATCCAGGCTTCGTCATAGACCAATCCTTCATCTGAAACTATTATTTGGGAGTATCTCCTCAGAGGCATGCTGTTTGTACTTGAATTGATTGAAATATATAAGATTAAAGATATTTTGATAGAAAAGTTTTGAATTGAATTGTAAAAGATTGATTAATTTTATTTAAGAGTTATTTTTAAAAAGATTCATATTCTTGAAAGTTTTAATAATATTATTAACTTTAAATTCTAAATTAATATCAAATATAATATTATCTTTTAGATTAAAAGCTAAATTCCTTTTTAATTTTTATATATATATAATAAAAGATTTTATTCTTTCCTTTTATAATTTATAATATTTGTAAATTCATATATATAAATATTAATTTGTTTATATAATCATAATAGAAAATCGATTTTATAATTTAGTTTGAATGAAATTCATATAAGAGAATTTTTTTATATTGATTAAATAAGTAAAAATAGATAAATAAAGAATATAATAATAACAATATTATTATTAAATAAATGTAAAAGAGAATTGGAATTAAAACTCTAAAAGAGATTTTGAATATATTAAATAAAATAAATGAATTTGATTGTAGATTAATTCACTGAATTAACTTATTAATCCTTTAATAATCTTAATATAATATTTAATTATACTCAAAAGGTATAATAGTATAGAAATATATATACAACCCTTAGATTTTATAATCCGCTCATTCCTAGAGCAGTACATTACACTCTTATCTTTCCTCGGGGGTTTATGGCCCACTCTATAAAACCTATCAACTTAATCTCAAACTTAATTGAAGCCCACTCTGTGTAACCTCGGTTATCTCGGTTGAAAGCCTATATTCTTCCAAGCCTGAAATACTCTCCGAAACTTAGGGGAAAACATGCTTTGCAAATTCTCTCAGTCATACATACACACCTTCTCGACGAATCTACCTTATATCAACCAAAAAAAAATTAATGCTAAGAAAGACCTGGACTTGAGCCGAGTTAGCTGGGATTCCCCAGCCTCGGTTGATCCCTACGCCAGATCTTCTAGCTGAATGCTCAAGCTTTGTGTTATAATATGTTAATTAGAGCTCTGAATATCTCCGAACCCCTAGCCCCTGTTGCCCTAAAAATTAACTTTCGACCAGCGCTGTTCGAACTATGCGAATGAATATATTGAACTTACGGACACTAGGGATTAATATGGTAGGTGATGTTTTAGTGATATCGTAGCCTTACCACGATCATAATGACGCGGATCACTTCTCCTAACCCTACAAGCTGAACACCAAGATCTGCAACCTCAAAATCGCATAAGAACCAGACCATCTCCCAGCGTTGACGTGTTAATGACATTTATACCTCAGTCTGTACTTTGTTTTTTTATTGGAACTCAGGCTAGCCACACAATAGCTCTATGGTATTCAACAGCCCCACGCAACCTTTCGTCTAAATTGCGGCTACATTTTTCGATCGACTAAATCCTACGGTATCTTCTGAGTAATTCTTTGAAACTTCTCGAGAAAGCTGCAGCCAAACTGGATCCATAAACCGACATAAGATTCTTTGTAATGGAGAAGGGTAAATCGAAATCACGCGAATTTGAGAGGCTTATACATCGTTTTGGACCACTAGTTCTTGTTCTCAACCGAGCCTGCCCTAAGATCATTCGACTACTTTCGAATCAACTGCGATCACATTTTATCCTGCTAAACCGACGGCTGGGTCACTCACTAGACCCTTGTAGGGCCGCCCATCGATGCGTCCACGATCAAATTCCATGGTCTTCTCAGCATGCCAAAGAGGACTGCTAGTTATCATCAAGTCTTTACCGCTGCGATCGGCCGCTATGTGATCTCTATCTTTTCAACGCATCTACATGCTTCTAAGACCTCAGCAGTTCACACACTTAAACCCCTCTCGAATGATAAAGAGTACGTCCCTGGATATAAAATTGGAAGTCTCTCAACACAGGTCCAACAAACTACACCATATGTTATTAACATAATAAGTTGCGCGCAATGGAATCAGCTGGCAGTATCCTTCAGGATAATTGCTCTGGTGGTCATCAAAATTTTCATACGTATTGGAGCTAGGTATGTTCCCATTAGTAGTTTCCAAAGGGATAGCAAACTTTACTGTCAAGGCCGGATTATTTCGTTATTAAAAATTATATTTAGCGAAACTCAAGCTCGACTATATAATACTTGTTACGCCGAACGACTCCCGATGAACGGGTGAAAGTGAAATTACCAAGACCTCTCGCTCGTTACCGTTCCGTGAACGAAGAATACATTCGACTCCACAGGGTAGACCCCATTCAACATCCAATAGTATTGGCTAGGCCGAGGAGTTATGCGCTTACATTTTGTTCTCGTCGATTATGAGATTCGAGAATGCCGGCTTTTTCATCGCTATGTCATCGATAAGGTTCATCAATACAATGGGCTTGGAATACCTTCGCATAATGCAAGTTCTGCATGACAAAACTTGAAATGAACACCGTGATCATGGAGAAGGATGGCAAGGTAGTTTCAATCCAAGACGGCAATATTCAGAGCGAGATTAATCACCTCTAGATAGATAATAAGCTGCCGCGGAAGTAGTATCTCGTTACAACCATTAATCGATTTAACATGATGGGGACTCGACAAGTATAGCGTTAAACAAGAAAATTATTCAGGACATAGTCTTGATGCTCATATGACTGAGGGATGTGCGATACTACTACAGTCCGATTCGACCCCTTGGCTATGAAGCTATACACTGGAGCCAGTCTTTATTATCACAGCTTCCTACTGAGGTTTGGCTAAACAGTTTAATATACCACTTCTCAATCTACAGGCTCTATACCAGCGTACTCGGAGCTTGAATAATCCAGCAAATGCTGCGACCAATCTCGAATGCAAACAGAACTAGATCATTGAAGTAATAATAATAACAATTGTATCCAATCTTATCAATGATATAATTAAATCTTCGAATGAGAGTCAGAATAGGAGCGATAACCATCTATGTCAAAAAAATGCTGCATTCACCGGACCAGGGAATGGAAGTTCCAACCTAAGACGAAAATAAATCTTGAGATCAGAGTGGTTGATGTACTGCTCTTCTCAACCCGCGAGAAGTGAATAACTTTAAACATTAACGAGTGGAACTACCCATGGATACCTTCTCACTATCGCTTGATTAGGCATTGTATGTATCGACGCAGAGGGTTTTCACTCAGTATAAGGTATAATCAACAGTACAAAAGTATCTTATTGTCGGTTGATATCAGGTGAACTACTTGACTATACTTAGGGCCCGGGATCGGGTTTTTAGGCGATGTAGAGCTACATTTGTTGTTAATATACAATTGAACTGAACATTATATCAGCTTCATGAAGCTTTATTGTTTACCAAAACAAAAATATACCTCACTGATGAGTCTACAACTGCAAATCTACAAATTTAGGAGTTTGTAGGGATTACAATAGTCTTGCTAAATCTGTAATAGAGCTTCGACTAGCATATGTCAATGAAATATTATTCTATATAATGTAGATCTACAAATTCGAGGCTATATTAGCACACCAATCCTATTTTGGCAATAAATCAAAGAAATAGATCCGAACGGACCCTTAGAAGGAGAGGCAATGGATCTCTTAGTGTCTCGATATTCCACAGATTTGAGGAAGTCCCGAAGAATTATTAGGAAAATCACAATGAAATCGAATAATTTGTGTTTTACTCATCGCTGGACACGCCGCGAAACATATACTGTCGTGAATCTGAATGTGATAAATGAACAGCGGACAAGAGGTGGGGTGAGATGACAACGATGAGATAAGAACCATCAAGCGTTGCCGAATAATCCACACTTATATCGTATCAACGGAATTTTTGAATTTGGGCTGGGCTCAGTCGAGATGCAAGTAAGCTCTTTTATTGCAGGCATACTCGAGAAGTATTAGATTGGCCACCTACTTGCATCTCAAGATTTCCCGAGTATTCAATGGATATAGCCCCTCTCATTATCAGGAAGGAGGGAATGAGAGCCCAGTGATCATTGAAATTAGATCCCCGATGAAAAACCGATAAATCCACAATGAGAACGACATTATCATGAAACTAATCTAAATCTTGACTCGCTGGAAGAACATGCCGAAGGAAGGGACTTCCTATTCGTAAACATGTAAGAGGTAAAGCTGTACCTGTGAAAGAAATGACCTACCACAGGTATGGTGGAAGCGCAGGATTGGAAAGAATGCTATTCGGAATAATCGATTTCATTTGTGGTCCCTAGGAAGCTCTCTTCTTAGGGCTTGAGCCAATCCTCATTAGGCTTCGCTAGCTCCATATTACTGTGCTACCTATAAACCAATGAGTTCAATAGTACCTGCACTTTCGTGATTCACAAGTGATCGCTGTTTACCACGTTTCTACAGAATAGCCCCTCACTCTCCAAAAGCTTCAAAATTTATTCTCAAACCTTACAGATACCAAATGCATAACTAGAACTTGGCAAGCGCCAAAAACTCCCCAGGGAGTATAGTTTCGACGTTCTAGTTATGGGATTAGCATCAAACAGTCAAGACCCCAGTATAAAGTGCGAGCAAGAGCTTGTGCTATCCAGAGAATAAGATCAGATGGCAGAGATAATTATCCACTTATTGCTACGAAATTATAGCACAGAAGCGGATTGCTAGCGGATGGAGACCCAGAGCGAGAGATTCATTTCTCCATACTCAAGTCATTGTAGAAGTTTGTCTGTTTTGATGTCATCTAATAAACGTACCGAACAGTGCTGCCTTTCATCAATCCCAATTAAATATCCGATTAAACAAACAAATATTTGCGGCTGGTTGCTTCCACAAAGTAGGAGGATGAGATGACTCAATACTGCTGTACTAAAAATTCCATTATCATCCCAAAATATCCCGATAAAGAACTTTTAAGATTGTGGCTAGGAAAGAAAACGAGCGGATGACTATTGAAATGAAAAGAATGTATTCGGAAATAAGCTTCTCGTACACAGTTTATGAAATCTGTAGAATACCATGAATATGAGCAATCGAGAGAGATAACGAAGAGTTATTGAAAGAAGGGGCAGCAGTGACAATGAATTAGATGATGGAAACAATAGTCATGAATGAAAGATAAAAGAGATTGGCGGCCGGTAATAATGAGAATAAGACCAGTAGGAAGTTACACACGGTTATCTCTGAGGTTGTAGTATGCAGTGTACAAGAAAAACCTAGGTTTTTTAGATTTTGTGGTGAAGATCTCATTGTCTTTCATCGTTGTGTTATACTTCAGTAGCTACTGACGATACATACTTGAAAGATTTGATGGAGTCAAAAGTTACAGCATGAAAGAAATGAGTGACATTATACTTGAAAATACTGGAGGTGTTGAATCGCTCTGCTTCAATTGGATGTAGGCTTTGATGACATAGAAATCTTCATTGATATGAGATAAAGAAGAGAAAATTAAAGTGTTTGTAATGAATTTTCTCTGGGGATTGCTGCAATGAGATCAGACTGACAAAGATATTACCCGTGCAATGGATGGATGAGATCATGAGATATTGCCAAGAAGCTTCATGTTCACACAATGGGCTCAGCTCGTAGAAGGATTGAGATGCTTGTTCCGCGGACACAAACCATATTCATCAAAGCACCTATGCCCAGGGAGGGTATTGTTTGCTTTGACAGGTTCAAGAGTCGCTTGTCAAAAGCTACCAGCGCCAAGCGTCTACCCGCCCGTATCACCGGTGTGCTCCAGCAGAATGAAATCGCAAGAATCATCAAGGAATATCATAGCATGGGGTAAAATAAATTAGATTCGTTGCCGACAGCATAATCACTAGTCAAAGGTGCATTGAGCCTGCCTTTCGGTGCGATTGCTTGGCTCTACCGCATAATCATTCATTGATATCTCGCTTTTGACGCTGTGTAATACTTATATACGCGCGTGTTGCCCCTTCCACCTTTCTTGATTCGTCAGCCTTTCTCTTCTGTAACACGAAAATGGAGGACGAAAACCAAGCTTCCAACGTACAACGTCAGAGCTCTGAGCATGAAGAACTCATTGAAGAACAGTCCGAAGAGAAATCTCCACTCACCGAGGTTTGCGGAATTAGTGCTCCTGGAACTTCAGAAACTGTAACTCCAGAAGTCGAAACTCCAGAGGAAGATCTTTCTGATATTGGCGCGCGGTCGGACGAAAATTCACCATGCAAAGAAACCTACAGCAGCGAGGTTACTCAGCATACTCCAGGTAGAGATTCTGGAGAAAACAAAACTCAGGAGAATGAGCTTCTCAATTCGCCCGATCTTGACTTGCAGCTTTCCACCACAGATATCTCCGAGGAAGAACTTTCCGAGCCCGAAGTTTCTGATGATTCCCTTGAGATCGAAATCGCTCAACTCTCAGAGCATTTGCCTGAGCCCATTGAGATTGAGGTTCATCAACTTCTGAGCGCTTCACCTGAACCCATTGAGATCGACATTCCGGAACGATGTGACTATTCATCTGAGGTACCCCAGCTACCCGAGTTGCCCAATAACGAGCCTCAAGATCACAGCGGGTCCGATGCAGACAACGAGTGTTCCGACGAAGAGTCTCCTAGAGACCTCGGAGGTTGGCAACTCCGCAAATTAGCAGAGAACGCGCTTGAAATTGCTTTAGATGTCTCTGTTCCCAAAGCACTAGTACCATCGGTAAGCGACCCAAACATCTGCAAGCCCCGAACTCCGCTCCCCGAGCGTGTGTGGCGCCCATCCTCAACTGACCCCACGCGAGCGAACAAACCAAAATGCCCACCATGCGAACGAAAGAAGAAGAGGTTTGATTGCTTGGGAAGTCCTCCTTGTAACGAGTGTAGCAAGAGAAATATGACGGCCGAACAATGTTCTACGTTTGCATTTGTAAGACGACGAGGGAAAAAGAGGTTGCAAGATGATGATGGTATGGTTGTACAAAAGGGTGGGAAAAGAGGCAAGACGAGGTGAATATCATTCCCTAGAGTTACTGCTCGTGGAAGGGTTTCTTCTCGAAGAAAAACATAGTTGGGAATGAGGGTGATAAATTTGGTAGCAGTGGCTGAGATTGGTAGATACTGAGAGTCAATATGGTTGGATGTCATGCTTAACCGAGACATGAACATTCATTGGTGGAAAATTTGTAGCCCGTTTCAATATTAAAGCCTTGTTATGCTTCTTCAAAATGCGGATGTCTTCCCTATCATACCTTTG